GAAGAAAAAACAAACCAAAAAATTCAAGAAATAAACAAATCTCTTAAAGAATCTAAAGAGAGCCAAGAAAAGACAAACAAACAAGTGAAGGAAACAACTCAAACAGTCCAAGCCTTGAAAACTGAAATGGAAACAATAAAGAAAACACAGAATGAGGGGATGCTGGAAATAGAAAAACTGGGTAAACGATCAGGAACTACAGATGTAAGTATAACCAATAGAATACAAGAGATGGAAGAGACAATCTCAGGTGGTGAAGACACATTAGAGGATATACAGTCATCAACCAAAGAAAATCTCAAGTCCAATAAATCCCTAACACAAAATATCCAGGAAATATAGGACACCGTGAAGAGGCCAAACCTGAGAATAATAGGTATAGAAAAAGGTGAAGAAATACAGCTCAAAGGTACAAAAAAACATATTCAACAAAATCATAGAGGAAAATTTCCCTAACCTAAAGAATATGCCTATGAAACTGCAAGAATCTTACAGAACACCAAATAGACTTAACCAGAAAAAGAAGTTCCCTCACCACATAATAATCAAAACATCAAACATACAGAATAAAGAGAAAATATTAAGAGCAGCTAAGGAAAAAGGCCAAGTAACATATAAAGGCAGACCTATCCGAATTACATCCGACTTCTCAATGGAAACTATGAAAGCCAGAAGGTCCTGAACATAATACCAGTAGCACGGACACTGAGATGGACACTTAATAAAATGGGACTCCCTGAAACTGAGAAGCTTCTGTAAGGCAAAGGTCACAGTCAACAAGACAAAAAGGCAGCCCACACAATGGGAAAAGATATTCACTAACCCCATATCTGACTGAGGGCTGTTCTCCAAAATTTACAAAGAACTCAAGAAGCAAGTCTCCAAAACATCAAAGGATGAAATTAAAAAGTGGGGTACAGAACTAAATAGAGAATTCTCAGTAGTCTAAAATGGTTGAGAGACACTTGAGAAAGTACTCAACATCCTTAGCCATTAGGGAAATGCAAATCAAAACAACTCTGAGATACCATCTCTCTCCTGTCAGAATGACTAAAATCAAAAACACTGAAGACAGTTTATGCTGGAGAGGATGTTGAGAAAGGGGAACACTCCTCCACTGCTGATGGGAGTGCCAACTCATTCAGCCACTTTGTAAATCAGTATGGAAATTCCTCAGGAGAACGGAAATCAATTTACCAAAAGATACAGCAATTCCACTCTTAGGCATATACCCAAAAGATGCAGATTCATACAACAAGGACATCTCTTCCACTATGTTCATAGTAGCATTATTTGTAATAGCCAGAACCTGAAAGCAACCTAGATGCCCCTCAACTGAAGAGCGGATAGAGAAAATGTGGTACATTTACACAATGGATTACTATTAAGCAGAAAAAAAAACAAACAATGGAATCTTCAAATTTGCTGGCAAATGGATGCCACTAGAAGAAACCATCCTGAGTGAGGTAACCCAGTCACAAAAAGACAAACATGGTATGCACTCACTCATATATGGGTTTTAGACATGGATCAGGAGAGTACCAACCTATAATCCCACCATCAGATAGTCTGGGAATCCTAAGAGGACCCTAAGAGCAATATGCATGGTACCCCAGATAAGGTGAATGAGCTAAGATCTCCTGAGCAGACTGGGAGCATGGGAGGGGGGAGCCTAGAAGAGGAGAGAGGGAGAGGAGGAGGGGAAACAAGGACATTGGGGGAAGAATAGAGGAGAACAAGATGAGAGGTACCATAATAGAGGGAGACATTATAGGTTTGGGGAAAGACCAGGCACTAGTGAGATTTCCAGAGATCTACAAAGATGACACTAACTGGCAAACTAATAATAGTGGAGAGGCCACCATAAATGCCCATCCCTGATTACGAGTTTGATGACTTCCTTATATGCCATCCTAGAACCTTCGTTCAGTGACTGATGGAAGCACAGGCAGACACCCACAGCTAACCATTGAACCGAACTGGAACCCAGTGACAGAGAGGGAGGAATGATGAGCAAAGGGGTCAAGACCAGGCTGATGAAACTCACAGCTGACCTAAACAAGGGGGAGCTCTTGGACCCCCATCTGATGGTTGGAGATCAACATGGGACTGATCCAGACCCCCTGAATGTGGGTGTCAATGAGGAGGCCTGGAAAATCTGTAGGGCCTTTGCAGTGGATTGGTGTTCGTCCTACGCATACAGATGAACTTTGGGTGCCCCTCCCACAGTGAGGGATGCTCTCTCAGCCTGATCTCTTGGGGAAGGTCCTGGGCCCTGTCCTAAACAAAATAGCAGACTCTGAGGATCCCCCACAGATGGTCTCACCCTCCCTGGGGATTGGAGAGGAGATTGGGTGGGAGTCTGGGGGAGCTGGTAGGGGTGTGGGAGAGTAGGGGGAGGGAGAGGGAGCTGGGATTGACACATGAAGCAAGCTTGAAATAAAAAATAAATATAAAAAATAAAAATAAAAACAATCCCTCAAAAACACACACAAAAAATACCCTGTACTCCACAAAATTAGAAAATTTAAAAGAAATGGACAATTTTCTGGATAGGTACTACATACCAAAATTAAACCAAGATCAAATACACAATTTAAATAGACTATAACCCCCAAGGAAATAGAAGCAGTCATCAAGTTTCCCAACCAAAAAAAGCCCAGTGCCAGACAATTTCAGTACAGAATTCTGCCAGAATTTCAAAGAATAGCTAAAACCAATACTCTTCAAGAAGTTCCACACAATAAAAGCAGGAGGTTCATTGCCAAACTCTTTTACAAGGCTACAGTTACCCAATCCACACAAAGATGCAACTAAGAAAGAGAATTACAGACCAATTTTCTTATAAACATTGATATAAAAATACTCAATAAAAATACTGGCAAACTGAATTCAAGATCAAAAACAAAAAATCATCCACCATGATCAAGTAGGCTTTATCCCAGAGATGCAGGGATGGTTCAACATATGAAAATCTGTCAGTGCAATCCACCACATAAATAAAAGTGTCTACAAGACATCTGTCCAGTTTTTCTGGCTTTTGGAGTCTCCATTGAGACACTGGGTGTAATTCTACCAGGTTTGCCTTTATATCTTGCAGCTTTTAATAGTCTTTCTTTGTTATTCTTGTTTAGTATTTTGATTATCATGTGATGCAGGGACTTTTCGGGTCCAATCTACTTGGTGTTCTATAAGCTTCTTGTACATTTATAGGCATGTCCTTTTTTAGGTTAGGAAATTTTTCTTCTATTATTTTATTAAATATATTTTCTGGGGCTTTTTTGTTTTGTTTTGTTTTGCTTTGCTTTTTTGAGCTAGGACACTTCCATTCCTATTGTTCTTACACTGGTCTTTCCACAGATTTCTTGGATGTTTTGTGTTATGAATATTTTAGACTTACCATTTTCTATGACCTATGAATCTATTTCTTCTATTGTGTCTTCAACGCCTGAGAGTTTCTCTTCCATCTCTTCTATTCTGTTGGTGATGCTTGCATCTATAGTTCCTGTCTACTTACCCAGATTTTTCACTTGCAGTATTCCCTCAGTTTGTGTTTTCTTTGTTGCCTCTATTTGGATTTTTCAGGTCTTGAACAGTTTTCTTCACCTGTTTTTTTTTTTTCTTGGCTTTCTTGTCATTCATTAAGGCATTTATTGATTTCCTCCATTTTTTTGTATTTTCTTGATTAAAGGATTTTTTTCATTCCCTCTTTAAGGATTTTTAAGATCTTCATAAAGTTGTTTTTAAGGTTGTTTTCTTGTGCTTAAGGTGCTTTGGAATATTCAGGTCTTGCTATCACAGGATAGCTGGGTTCTGGTGGTGCCATATTGCCTTGGCTGTAATTGACTGTATTCTTACACAGGTGTTTAGGCATCTGCATTTGGGATTATTATAGGTCTAGGTGCTGATTTCTGAGTTTGTCTTTGTTGGATAGGTGTTTTGTTTGTTGGTTTCTCTTTCCTCTTTGGTCTTCTGGTCTTTGTGGCCTGGATTTCTGGTGGCTGACATGCCCTCTGATTCATTAGGGAATCTCAGTCCAAGTTGTGGGTTGGCCTTCTGGAGACTAGCTTGGCCTTTGGTGCAGCAGAGGGTCTCTGATCTTATGACTTGTATGGCCTGCCCCTGAGCAGATGTCTGCCAGAGATGGGAGCAGGGCCTGTTCTTCTGACTGGTCCAGGTCTGCTATCTTAATCAAGCAATGTCCATAAAACTCCTATCGTCACATTGATATAAATTTCATGTACACCAAATCCCATGGTCTCTGGAGATAAGAGGATTAGCGAGAACCGAAGCGGGATGTAGGGAAAGAATGTTGGTTGCCTCAAAGCAGCCATACTAGGTCTGTACCCAGAAAAGATGCCTCCCCAACTCCCTCCCCCTCCTTTCACACTTACATCCATTAATCACATTCTTTAAGTAAAATTAGCATCATTTCCTTTTTATAATTAGCACATGGCAGTAAAAAAAAAAAAAAAGCCAAGATGACTACTACTATTGTTTGGCATTGCTGCCTTGGTTCTTGTGAAGGCCATTAAGCATTTCGCTATCATTGCTAAGCACTGTTGGTGCAAATGTAAACCCCATGGAAAGAGGCAAATAATATGTTAGTATTGTTAATAAAATAGTTTTTCCAGGTGTCCTAAAAGAATCTCAGGAACTACCAGGGAGTCTACAAACTGTATTTTGAGAACCATTGTTTTTCAAGAACTAGGGGAATATAAAGTTTCATTACTCCAAAGACTGTATTTCTTTGTACTATGCTATAAATTCACTGTTTAAATAAGATAAGCAGAAAGAAAAACTTACTTTAATCTAATTCAAGTTTTCATATGAAAGTAAATTTATCTTGAATGCTTATAAAACAATCTATATTTACCCTACTAACATTCTAGAATATCTAATTTCAAGTCTTATAAAAACAAAGATTCATCTTAACTGTGCAAACAGTAACAAAATAAACACCCTATAATATAATCAAGCCACAAGTCATTATACTTAACTGTAACAAAACTTGATTTTGTGTTGCTTCATCTTGAAAATCCTAAGGGGGAAAAAAGAGTAGGATTTTTTTCCAAACTAAGGAATGATAATATAATGAAACAAACAAAAAGGCATAACACTTCAGAAAATTCTTACATTAGTGTTTCTTAGCTTTTTAAATTTTTTTGAAATTATAATATAGTTACAACATTTCCCCTTATTTTTCCTCCCTTTAAACTCTTCCTTATACCCTTCTTTGCTCTTTTAAATTGGTGGTCTCTTTTTCATTAACTGGTGTGTGGGGGGGGGTGTGGATGTGGGTGTGTGTATTCCTAAACACACAAACATAGTATGCTCAGTCTGTACAATGCCACCATTTGGTATTGAACAACCAATTGGTGTGCTCTTCCCTAGGAAAGTCTATCTCTCCCACTCTCAGCATTTCTCATTTTCCTGTAGTTCTCTGTATAAAGTTGAGGTCTTGTGAGCTTTTATTTTTTGGGGGGTGGAAACAATATACATAACGTTCCATCTCAGCTATTTTTAAGTGCATAATTCTGGAGCATTAAGTAACTTACATTTTGCACAACTATTACTACCATGCATTTCCAGAACTTTCTCATCTGAAACTCCTCAGCTCAAAGTCCATGTATTTTAAACACAAATTCCCCAGTTCCTTCCACCTTCACTGATGGCTATCTACTTTCGGTCTCTATGAATCAGACTTCTCTAGAAATATCATGGAGTAGGTACCATACAGTATTTGTTATTTTGTGAATGGCTTATTTGACACAGTACAAGGCTGATCCATGGTGTAGAATGTATCAGTATATTCTCCTTGTTTAAGGTTGAATAACTTCCATCGACTATATAACAAATACTACTTACCCACTCACCATTTTTGGCTATTGTGAATCAATACTGCTATAGAATAATTCTGCAGTGAACAGGAGTATAAAACTTTCTTCAGATTCTTATTTTCTCTTCTTTCAGGTATAGATTCAGAGGTGGAATTGCTAGACCATGCAGCATTCTATTGCTTAATTTTGGGGGGCAGGTATCACCATACAATGTACCATTTTACATTCATACATGTAAAACTCAAAGGTTCCAAGTTTAGGACATCCTTTCTAACTTTTATTTTCTGTTGTTTGCTTCCTGTATAGTCATCTTTTTTGGGGGGGGGTTTACGAGACAGGGTTTCTCTGTATTGTTTTGGAGGCTATCGGTCCAGCCTGGCCTCGAACTCACAGAGATCCGCCTGCCTCTGCCTCCCGAGTGCTGGGATTAAAGGTGTATGCCACCACCGCCCGCCCTGTATAGTCAACTCAATAAGTGTGAAATGATAACCTCAGGAAGATTTAGTTTGCATAGTTCTTTTTGGGCTTATTAGTTATTTATATATCTTCTTTGGTAAAATATCTATTCAAGTTCTTTGCTATTCCCCTTCCTTTTTTTCTTTACAGTATTGGCAACTGAACCAAGGGACTCATGCATTCTAGGCAACCATTCTACTACTGAGCTGTACCCTTGCCTTCATTTTAGTTCTTTCACCTTCCGACAGTTTTCCAATATGGGCTTGAATTCACTATAGCCCCAGCATGCCTTGCACTTGCAATCTTCCTGTCTCTGTGTCCCGAGTCTGTGTTATTACAGGGCGAGGCCAGTAGACCTAGCCCTTTTCTCATTTTCTAATTAAATTGTTTTTGTTCCATTGCAAGAATTCTTTGTAGCCTTTCATGATCAATTATTTTTTATTTTAATTACATCTAAATTACCAATCTTTCTCTTGTCTATACTTTGAATGTTATTGAAAAAAAAATCATTGTTAAGCCCAATGTCATGATCCTTTCCATTATATTTTCTTCTAATTGTTACTTAGTTTATACATTTTCCTTAACTTACTTGGTATAAAAATAAGTTGTTATTTTTCCCATTACATGACTAAACACCTGACAGAAGCAATTTAAAGAAGGAAAGATATTTTCTTGGGCTCACGGTCCAGATGTCATGAATTGTGGCAGGACAGTAACAGTGGTTGGGCGCTGGGATGGCAGGAGCTTGTGGCACAGATTGCTTACATTAGTAGACCAGAAAAAATAGGGCTGGGAAGAACCTTCTGCTTTCTGACTCACTAGGCTTTACTTCTTAAGTAAGGTTCCATGAACTCCCAAAATAGTGCCATCTGCTGGGGACCAAATATTCAAGTAAGTGAGGCTGTGTGGGACATCCAAACAATAACGTGAGGCGTGAGCAAAGGGAAAGGGAAAGGAATTTCACTCCACATGTCTCCCCTCTTCATTGATCTATGATGATTTTGCCTTGCTCAGTTTAAAAAGAACCTTGCCTTAAATATGTTGTCAGCATTTAAAATATTTCTCTGGAGGTCCCTGTCTCTTTCTATGATTTAGAAGTACAACTTTCTGAAAATAATACCATTGGCCTTAATGCACAAACATTTTAACAATAGCACTAATACAATCCTATTTTTAAAAAAATCACAAAGACACACACAAATCATGATATATGAGAACTTCCATCTTTTTTTCAATTAATGTTCAGTGTATGTGGATACATGCATATGTAGCTTAAATGAAGTTATCCTACTTGGACTGATAATACTCTGCCAAACACCCACAGACTGCCTTACAAAAACTCCAATACCAAAGACAAGAAATCTTCTTTGGAGTTGTTGGTCAGGGGACTATAAGATACTTCCAAAACAATAGAGGTTATTGCTGTGGCCCTTGGTTACCTCTGAGGGGTTGAAGGTAAGTCCCTATTGTTCAAGACATCATGCATTTCAAACACAACACCTGGAGGCTCTAAGCTGGATCTGACCTGAAAGTCTCTTCCCTGTTTTCCCTAAGGACAAGCTTTCATAGTATCAGGAGGGGCCATGGAAACTTCCAAAGGAGGGAAGCAACCTATAGTCCTACCCAGTGCAATGCTTATAAAATACAATGACAACCAGTATGGCAGGATATCCCTAAGGGTGCAATAGTAGCACTTAATTCTTGGCTGTAACCAACAGCTCTCCAAATGAACTTAAGGTCCCTTAACTAGAAAGAAACCAGGTCTGACACAGAAAGCCTAGTCAACCATCTAGGGCTAGTGAGATCATAGGTCTTAAAAGAGAACCTAGTACTGCCATTTTACAAAACCAGCAGAATTCCTAACTGCATTATAAATATCTACCCTTATAACCATAGAAAAGTGGAACTTTCAACCTTCATCAAAGAAACTTCTCTTTGCAACCAAAGAAGACCTTTACAGAAAAGTACAATTGATTAAAATATAGAGAAACAAATGACCATGGAGTGCCCAGCCACAATTGATACATCTACAGCACAACTCCTACACCTAAGGCTTGGGGAACATCACAAAAGAGATAACCGAAAGACTGTAAGAACCAGAGGACCAAGAAAGTTGTTGTGAAATTATGCCTCCTAGAAATGGCAAGGATGCTTCACTTATGATACCTCAACAATACTGATGTCTAAACAAGACCCAGAAAAACACATTAATAAATGCATAGCATGGAAAGAGGAAATCTCATGGTGCTCTACCCATTAACAAAGAACTACAGGCAATAAAGGAATGCTAAAAGTAGGAAAACAGTCCTCTACAGGGAAGGGACAAAATAATGTAATATTTTAATTTAAAAATAAGTAAGGTGAAATTTTAACTTTAAAAAGCTTGAGATAACAAACACAATTACAAATGTACTATAGTTAGCCAAAGGGAATCAAAATAAAATATTTCCCCCTTTGCTCTATGGCTTTCTATTACTTCAAATAAATGTTTCAAAATTTGAAAATAAATCACCTTCATGTTCTCCAATTAATGTTCATGCTATTCACTGACTATGCAAACTACAGATATCAAAGTACCCTTCTACACAAGCTTTATAAAACTTAAGAGACTCAAAGGTTAGAAGACAAAACTAACCTCACCCCAGAATCAGTTCACTAAGAACGTACCTACATGCTTCTCGATACTGCTACTGAGGCAATTAGAGTCCCTTCTTGTAGTTCTTAGTCTCATTAATAAAATAATTTAAGAAAGGACTCAAATGGAAACTTGAAAAAATGTATTAGCATTTAAAAGAAAAGCCCTAGGGCAGCTGAGCAGAGCAAAGAAAAGGGGGGGTAAAGTCATGTTTGAGATAAGCTGGCATAGAGGTTAGCCACACAGCATAAAAGGAGCTTTAGAGGAGTAAGAAAGCCAGAGCACAAAAGCAAACAAATAACTAAACATACTTAGGTTTTGAAAGAAAAAGACAAGAAAAGAGTCAGTCTGTCAGAAAGACTCAGACAAACTACATAGAGCTCATAGGGGCTGTGCCAGGACATGAGAATTCTGGGAAGGAAAAATACAATATTTCATTAAAAGGATAATTAATTATCCTGCTTATCTCTTTAGCATGGAGTAAGGTGAGCCCACCTTCCTAGCGCTGAATGAAAACCAGGTGCCAGCCCAATTTGGATTACCTTTTATGTTTTGAGTAGTTTATAATGTAAGGTCTCCATACAGGCTTATCTAGTAGGTCCCCACAGGGCCTAAATTAAGGCTACTGAAACAATATTTCTGCATCTCACAAAACAATTCATTCAGATGCCTGTCTTGCCCATTTCACTTATCTTCATGAAAGACCAATGGATTTTCCTATGGAGGGCAACTACTAATGATCATTCCCACATGAAGTAATTACAAAGACAACTGTTTTCTTTTTCTCTCCTCCACAAGCAGCAACTCCATGAAGAGCTAAAGACAGTAAACACAATGGTGACTGATGTTATTTCTTTATCCGTTAACAAACTGGAAGAATGCACTTCCACCAGCTTTTTCACAAGAGACCTACATTGCTAGCTGCCTCTTTTATATACATGACTACATTTTTTCTAGCTCCTACATCTTCATGTTTTGACCAGACATTAAAATATATAGGTACTTTATTGTATTATTTTTTGAAAATAAAATTTAAGAGATAAAGTTAACTGATTTAATTAGGAAGATCTAACAAGAACCAAATCTGCTTATGAGTTTAACTAAAGAAATTATCCTTTACTATGTTGTCACTCTCTTCAGCTCTCCAGATGGATTACTGAGATTAGTAAAGCCAGTATAAACAACAAAAAAAGGTCAGAATAAATACTTTGATTCTTCATGAAAACTCAGTATCTCACACAAACTACTTTCACATGCATTAAAGTAGATTACTCATAACAGATATTCAGCATTTTAATTAATAAATCATGGGTAACATTTCCCTAACATATATTTCTCTTGAACTGAGGAGCCTAAATTTGGTGATTTTCATGCAATTTTAAAATATTAAGGAAGAAATATTCTAAATATATATATGACTGCTCATTAGGGGCTGTTACCTGTACACACAGTACCATGTATACATTGCTTCAGTATTAGTAAATGCCAAAATGGTTGTTTGACATTTCACTTGTTAGCATTTAAGAATAACTTAAACACAAAGTGATTGCATTAAAAATGTCTTGGCTCAAGTTAAGTCAGGTTCCAAAGTCCTGTTTTAATCCTACTACTTTCCAGAAACAGTTCTAAATCACCACAAGTTCTTGGCAGCAAGGGCAACTATAGGACTGTAAGAATTAAATCAGGATGAGTTCCTGAGTCACGAAAGGGACACCAATAGTATTAATGACCATACTGGTGGAGACAAATTGCTCCTTGTTCAATGGCAGAGTGTTACTCAGCATGCACAAGAATACAGATTAAATCTCTAGCAACACTAAATAAATAAACAAGTAAATAAGTAAATGTTGGTCTCATCCAAGCCACCCTCATTTAAATGTCTACTCAGATAGATACCTAGCAGTCTAGTCAAGTTAACACACAACATCATGCCAACTACTCAGATAGATTCGTATGTTTCCAATTTTCTCTCTAGATAGATCACTAAGTTCTTCAAAGTAAGACTTTAGGCATACAAGAATGTAAAACTGTGTCATGATTTAAACCTGAATGTCCCTCCCCTCTTCACAGGCTAAAGACTTGATGCCAGATGGTAACACTATTGGGAAGTAGTGGCAATGTAAGAGGTCTATTGTATATTGTAGGAAGCAGTCCAATCCTTTGACGAGTGCATTTGGCTCTTCCTGTGTTCTGTCTGCCTGTCCTCACTCCTCTTCTACTCTAACTCTTTCTCAGCTGCCATAGTGAGAGCAGCTCTACTGTGCGTATGTTGCCTTCCATGATGTCCCGCCTTACCACAGGTCTATAGGGATGAAAACAGAACTCTGGACACTGTTGACCAAAATAAATACTTCAATTTGATTTTCTTGGGCATTTTGCCACAATGGTAAAAAGTTAATATAAACTGCTTGTCATATAGTAATAAAGAGATTAAACAAGGTTATTACAATGTTGAGCAAAAAGTAATGAGAATGAACTAATGTAGAGCCTGCTATCTGTATTTTTAATTAACATGGTAGACATCAAACTACAGATCTTCCTTCCCAGTCTATACTCATCTATAATAGCTCATCACATCCAAAACAAGTCTTCTTTGAAGCAAATTGCTGCCTCGCATTTTACTTTTTAGGTAGAACTTATTTTAGAAGTCTGATTCAAGTTATAAAAATAATATTTTTTCTTTGGGAAAATATTTTTTAATTTCTGACACATTAAATTCCCCTCAGATAGTTAAATTTCTAAAGGTGTCTCTTGATAGAACACAAAGCTAGATGAAAGTAGCAACATGTAAAGTTTACTATAGCCCAAAACAAATGTGGGCATAAAGAAAAGTTAAAAGAGGGACAAATATTAATTATTCATTATCTTTCACATCCTAATTTTAAAATGAACATATGGCTAATTTACTATCTAATGATAACCTCTGAAAGGCACAATCACTAACTCGGAAGCATCTAAGGCAATTGTGCCCAAGTTGCTGACCACTGGAAATGACCTGGGAGACTCCAACAATGGATGTTTCCAGGTTCTACCCAGTACAGGTCTGGTAATACATATTTTTTTTTAAAAATTACTCTAAGCACTATGATAATTAAGGATTCAAAACCATATTCTAAGGAACAAATGAGGGCCTGGTACAAAATCGCATCACAAATGCTTATCAAATAAGCAGGAAATTTTTCTGAAAGGCTAGGAACATAGTTTACTGCTACAGTACTCATCTGTTGAGGGTAAGGGTTCAATCGCCAGAGCCACAAGAAAAAGGAAACATACATATATGAATATACATATTCACATGTACATACATATTTCAGTTACAGAAGCTAGCTGAAAACGATTTTTTCTTTCTTTTTTTTTTGGCGGGGAAGGAGTGATGTTGAGACAGGGTTTCTCTGTATGGCTTTGGAGCCTGTCCTAGAACTCGCTCTGTCGACCAGGATGGTCTCAAACTCACAGAGATCCACGTGCCTCTGCCTCCTACCTGCTGGAATTAAAGGCATGCGCCACCACTGCCAGGCTATTTTTTTCTTAACTCAGAAATTTAAAAAGAAAAATTTAAGCAAACAAATTATTAGAAGGCAAACACAGGTATCTCGGTTTCAAGGAAAAAAATATTTGGCATTGAATCTCCTCTTTTTATCAACAATAATGCATGAAGTATACCTTCCTAGGTGTGGTATTAAATAAATCTTCAGTCACCTTTGGAACTCCTGTCATTTCTACTATTAAAACATATGAATGGGGAGAGGGTCTTCATATGCATACGTACAGAGGTGTGAGTAAACCACATACACATATGCATGTGCATCCCTACACACACACACACACACACACACAAAACATCCTCCTGGGGGAAGAGGGGAGGGGAGGGGAGAGGAGGGAAGGGAAGGGAGGAGAAGGGAGGGAGAGAGAGAAGGAGAGGGAGAGAGAGAGAGAGGAAGGGAGTAAGGGAGAGAGAGGGGGGGAGGGTAGCTCATGTCTGCAGTTCCAACACTTAGGAAGCAGAGGCAGCTCCCCCACCATGCTAATTCAGGCACTATGCTGGCCTGCCCCTGTCACCTGGCAGAATGCAACTCAGGCAGTGTCCTGGTCAGCCCAGGTGCAAAGGACCCCTTTAAGAGAAAGACCTCCCTCTCTTTCCTGCTGTTCCCCTGGGGTAGACAGGACTCTTCCTGTCTCCCTCTTCTCTTCTGTCCTGTGTCTCTATGCCTCTTTAGCTCTTTTCCCTTTCCTTCTCCCTCTTCCCTTTCTAAAACTAACTATACACACACTCCCATACAAAGATAACAGAAGGTCTTTAATGCTACATATCTCAAATTATACAACACACACTGGTATTTTCTTCACATACTTTAAAATGAATGGATACAAAATAGAAATAAAAATAATAATAATTATCATATCCTATGGCTAACTTTTACTACCTTACGTCCACTGAAAAAGAAAATTGGAAAAGTAAAAAGGGAAATACTTTAAATTCTCTGTCCTAAAACAAATGACCTTCATCAAATTAGCAACAAAGAAATTGAACGATTGCTTTTAAAGATATAATAACTGAACAAAGTAAGAGAACCAAAACAGTAACAGACAAAAAACAAAAACAAACCAAAAAAACTCATAATTAGTAATATGCCAGACAGCAGTTCCAACTTTTGATAGGTATATGTTCAAACAACATCAAAGTACCTGTAATACTCGGTCCTCACTAAGAGTGGGCATCTCCTCATTTTTATTCTTTTGTTCTTCTGAGTCCTTTCTGAATTTGAGCCCAAGTTGAATCACAGGGGAAGGCATTTCTATAATGATATAATTAATCAATAACGTGCACTAGTTTTATTATTCTACTTTTATATAAATTCAAGAAAATTGTTTCTTTTGGTCTTTCAAGACAGGGTTTCTCTGTGCAGCTTTGGAGCCTGTCCTGTCACTCCCTCTGTAGACCAGGATGGCCTTGAACTCACAGATATCCACTCTGCCTCCTGAGTGCTAGAACTACAGGTGTGCACCACCACTGCCAGGCCTGAATTCAAGAATTTTATAAATATGGTAAAATGTCATTTGACAAGGGACTGATGTTACATATTATTTAATGGTAGGGTGGATGTTTAGCATATGTGAGGCCTGGGTTCAAATCCTAGCACAGTCCAAAAGATTATATATCATAGTTTCTTAACTGTGACTTTTATATGTCAATATTGTTTTATTATTTCTTAGTAGGGGATCATGCTGCATTGAACAAAACAATGCATGGTATTTCTTGGCCTCAGGATAAAGGATTGCAATGAGTATGTATAGAAAATTTTATACACTAGAACTGGGGAGATTCTTTTTTTTTTTTTTTTTTTTTTGGTTTTTACGAGACAAGGTTTCTCTGTATTGTTTTGGAGGCTATTGGTCCAGCCTGGCCTCGAACACACAGAGATCCACCTGCCTCTGCCTCCTGAGTGCTGGGATTAAAGGTGTGCGCCACCACCGCCCGGCAAACTGGGGAGATTCTTGGTGAATAAAATGCTTGTTGTCATTTTGTTAAAACATCCTGAGCTAAAACATACTTTATCATTCAACATAAAAAGTTGCCTCAGAAGTAACTATATGATTTTTTTCCAAATACACAAAGATCTTAAGATACTAATGGCACAGAAATAATCACAAATGAATTTGCAACATGCGCATAGAAATATTTAATGTGTCATGGCCCAGCAAGATGGTTCAATAGGTAAAGTTGCATCCTGCCAAGGCTGACCACCTAAATTCAATCTCTAGGACACACATGGTAGAAGGAGAGAACCAACTCTCACAGTTGTTCTCTGATATATACATACACAAAATAAATAAAGCAATTTATAAATTAATATATCAGAACCATAGTGTTTTAAACAGAATAAAATGGAATAGTCATATATCATAATGAGACAATTAAGTGTACTATTGAAACAATAAAATTAGAATTCTTCTTTTCCCATATTCAAAAATATCCTAAACATATTAAGCGTTGAAGAGTGAAAGCAAACTAGAGATACAGCTCAGCCAGCAGAGCACTTATTCATCCTAAAAGCACAAGGACATGAGTTTGGCTCTAGAGCACATGTAAAAGTTCTGAGTGTAATGGCACATGTTTATAATCCTAGCACCAGGGAGGTAGAGACAAGATGATCTCTAGGGCTTACTGTACAGCCAATTTAACCTAATAAATGAGATCCAGGCCAATGAAAGATGCAGTCTGAAATGCAGACAGCATTTCTGAGAATGAGACCCAAGGATATCCTCCAATCTAAATGGGTGCATGTGCACACACACACGCACGCGCACACACACACACACACACAAATTTTTAAAAGGAGAAACCAGAGCCTATTACTCAACCTGTGTAAAAATTCACTTCAAAATCAGTTAAAACCTTAATGTAGAACCTAAAACTTTGAAATTTCTAGAAAATACTTCAAGATACTGGCATAATGATTCTTCTAGAAAGGACACCAATACCACAAGAAATAATCTCAAAATAGTCAAACGAGATTACATGGAAATAAAAAGCATCTATATATCAAAGGAAACAATGACCACAGTGAGGAGACCACCTACAGACTGGGAGAAACATCTCTGCCACACATCAGATATGGGATTGACAGCTAGAGTGCATAAAGACCTTCAAAGATTAAAAACCAAGAAAAATTATCTAATCAGAAAATACTATGACACATGCCTTTAATTCCAGCAATCAGGAGGGAGAGGTAGGTGGATCTCGGTTATCAGATCTCAGTCAGCCTGGTCTACAGAGGGAGTTCCAAGAGAGCTACATAGTGAGATCCTGTCTCAAAAAGTCAAAAACAAACAAAAAATGTACTGATAAAATGAATAAGAGAATTCTCAATAAGACAAACATAAAGAGCCAATAAATATTTGAAAAAATGTTCAGCATCCTTAGCTGTCATGGGCATGCAAATTAAAACTGCTGAGTTCCATCTCACACTAGTTGTAATAATTATCATCAAGAAAGTAAATACCAAATGCTGGTGAGAATATGAAAAAGAGGAACCTTTATGCACTACTGTTGGTACTGTAAACTTTTACAGCCACTGTGGATGTTCCCTAAAAATAAAACTACCATATGATGAAACTATCCCACTCTTAAGCATATGCCCAAAGAACTCTAAATCAACAAACCACAGAGTTACTTACAGCTACACTATTAACAATAGCCAGGAAGCAAAAACTGCCTAGATGTCCATCAACAGATGGAGGAAATGTGGTGCATATACAGAATGCAATATCATGCATTCATAAATAAAAATGAAATCATGACATTTGCAGGAAAAAATAATAGAACTAGAAAGCATGATAAAGAGGCACAGAAAGACAAATCCAAAGCCATGAGAAAGCTCAGCAGGTAGAAGTGCCTTTTCTCCTTAGGTAGGGGTCCATCACAGGCTACCTGAGGAAAAGTCCTTAAGCACCTCCCCCAGGCTCCTGAAGATTGGCCGTGGGAATCATCTAACTCTATAGTAAGTCTGCTCCTACATTTAAAAACATTACTTAGCTCAAGCTGAACATTAACAATGAATTGCTTAAAGACTTCCCTAACACCCTAGCCCCCATAGCTGACCAACCACCTGACAAGTTGGGGGTAACAGAAAACATAGCTTCCAATACTCAGTAAACAAGACAAACTGGATTCTCATACTAGGAAACATTACCAGTGACCTAACTTCCACTGCAAATACAAAAAAGTATGAATAACCAAAAATATAGATCTCCTCCAAAAATGATTCTCACACAGTATTGTCCCTCAAGAAAAGTGACTTAGATGACATACAAGAAAATGATTTTAAAATAGCAATAATAAACAAGGTCAAAGTACTCAATAAGGATATGATAAATGCTGGAAAAAACAAAAACAGATTAGTGAAATAACAAAAACAATTCAATATATGAAAATGGAATTTAAAAAACAAAATCTCTGAAGTAAGAATGAAATAAAACTTAAAATAAAAAATTAGGAAATTCAAACCAAAATTTCAGAGTAGAGATTCACTTATAGAAGAGAGAGCACCAGGTCTTGAAGACAAGTAAGGGGACTAGATCAGAGAATGTTAAAAGCAGAGTAGAGGAATGGATCAGAGAAAATGTTGAATTACACACACACACACACACACACACACACACACACACACACTCACGCACACACGCGTTTTGTTTTGTTTTTTTTTTTGAGGGGGTTTTCGAGACAGGGTTTCTCTGTATTGTTTTGGAGGCTGTCCTGGAACTCGCTCTGTAGACCAGGCTGGCCTCGAACTCAGAGAGATCCGACTGCCTCTGCCTCCTGAGTACTGGGATTAAAGGCATGCGCCACCAATGCCTGGCTCTAAGTTTTAAAAATAATAATAAACCATGAAAAATTTTTAAATGTTATTTTGTACTTTTACAAATAGGTTTTAGAGTTAAGATAGAGACTAGAAGATGATGAGAAGATGCCACTTCAATACTTCTGGACCCTTTCTAGGAGCCCTACCCAGTTTCTGGAAGCTACAGTTCCCATTGCTATCCCTATTACAGATCTTAAGGCATCTTAGGATCTCTTATAAATGCACAAAATACATTCTGCAGGTTAAGGGAGAAGAGTAACATAAAATAATAAGTTAACAGAATGATACTTGGGACACTGACAATATCTAGTAAAAGGTTTGTCTCACCTTTCCACATTCCATTTACACCAGAATGAAAACAGAACTCAGATTTCAAAGATGTGTCTTGATTCAAGACCAACCTTTTGAAAGCAAAAAAGAAAAGAGTGGATATTTCCAAAATATCAGAGTTAACATTTTAGTTATCATTTAATTACAACTTAAATTGTTAAAGTTCTTTATACTACTATAAATACTTACATTTCAAAGTACTGTTTCAGGAACATTTACTTTAATATAGAATTTATCCAAGAAGAAAAATATTCACCTACTTATAGTCATTTTTACAAATATTTTGAATTACGTTTGATTTAGGGGAACAAGAGACATATTAATAGCACTTGATTGTCTTAGTTATCTTAGTTATTGCTGTGATAAAACACCATAACCAAATACAACTTTGGTAAGAAAGGATTTATTTCATCTTACAATTCCACAGTTGAATATCAAAGGAAGTCAGAGCAGGAACTCAAGCATGGCCAGGAAGGAGAGCAGCTTACTGTCTTGCTGTCCATGACTTGCTCAGCCTTTTTCAGCTTTCTTATACCATCCAGGATCACATGCCCAGGAATGGTGCTGCGCACAGTGGGCTAGACCCTCCTACAGCCTTCTCTAGGTACATGCGCACACACACACACACACACACACACACACACACACACACACACACATGCACATCCACAAACATGCACATCCACATCCAAACACATGCACACACACATGCACATACACACACATGCACACACACACACATGCACATACACACATGCATATATACATCAACACAACATGCACACACACATGCACATCCACACACATGCACATACACACACATGCACATCAACACACACATGCACATCCACACACATACACATCAACACACACATGCACATCCACACACATGCACATACACACACATACACATCCACACACATGCACATCAACACACACATGCACATCCACACACATGCACATCAACACACATATGCACATACACATACACAAATGTTTTTCTTAAAGAGGGGCCATTTCAAACCAGTGAGAACAAAAAGATGTTTTCAACAAAATTCTAGGGACAGTGAAGGGAATATGATGGGCTTATTACTGGGATTGAATTAAATCCCTTTTAATTATGTGACAAACTTCAAAAATTCAATTATCAAAATCATAGCTATATGTTACGCTCATGCCTGTAATCCCAGCACTCGGTAGACTAACATAGGCAGAGTTCTGAGAGTTCAAAGCCAGTCTGTGCTTTACAGTGAGTTATATAGGCCAGCCTGGAATAAGAGTGAGACCCTGTCTTAAGAAAACCAAAAATCACAAATACTCCATGGATGTAGTGTTTTAATAATGAAGTATAACTTTCTAATATTAGAAAGATGAAACACTGAAAAGTATTAGCCATTGAGGGAATTTAACAGACTGAACTAAAAGGAAGTTTTTCAATTTAAAACCTAATTGGAGATTTAAAGCAATTTTCACTGGTTATTACAGATTAATAAATTAGGGTTTCAATTTTATGTGTATAAAAACTTTAGCAATCAAGTTCTAACATCATGTTGAACTTTTTTTTTCATGTTGAGCTTTTACTTTAGTTAAGAACATCTAATTAAAACATGCTTCCAAAAAAATGGTCCAAAGACAGTGTTTGGCAACACTGTCTTCATCAGTAGGAGAACCTCTATTTTGGCATAGATCTCGATCAAAACGCTTACTTTCATGAGCTAATTTAAGCCTAAGCCTCCTCTCCCATGCTTTGCTTTTTTGCTCCAACCTTCCCTCAGGGTTTTGTTTTTTGATTTTTGTTTTGGTTTGGTTTTTTGAGACAGGGTTTCTCTGTGTGGCTTTGGAAGCTGTCCTGGAACTCACTCAGTAGACCAGGATTCACAGAGATCTGCCTGCCTCTGCCTCCCGAGTGCTGGGATTGAAGGTGAGCACCGCCACTGCCGGGCCCCTCAGGTTATTTTATCACCACACGAATACAGTGCTAGTACGTTACGTCGTCGCTGAGGGGGAAAAAAAGTCAACAAAAGGTGGTACCTTCTCCAGGGCAGCTCCTCATCTTCCAGTTCGTTCTCCGTCACTGACCCCTCAATCACTGTTTCATCACTGTCACAGTCTGAGGCCTGGGCACCGCTCTCCATCTTCGCCCCTCACTCAAGGGTTATTAACCTCCTCCTCTACTTCCCCCTTACCAGGAAGCTAAAGGGCTTTTCACGGGAGGGGGAAAACTGAGAGTTCAACATTAACACAAGCCAACAAAACTAGTGACAAGAGGAAAGGCCTCTCTGGGTGGCTGAGAACGCGAATAGTCGCACGCGCCGCGTGGTCGTCGATGCACGGACTACCCGGTTCCGTGCTGGCTCGGCTCGCGCGACACCAGCGCACAGCCACGCGCCACGGGTCAGTGCAGCGCGCGCAACCCCCGGGGCCCGCCCCGCCCCGCCCCGCCCCGCCCCCGGCGCCCGAGGCTCCTCCCCGGCTCCCAGGCCCCGCCCCTAGCTCCCGAGGCTCCTCCCAGGCACCAGGATGACTGCTCTGGTCTGCTCAGTTTCTGGTCCACCATGGCTGGTTTGCGCAATTTGCTAGTGACTCTGGTTCAGTTATCTACGCCTCCCTGCATATCCCAGCGGCCAAGGCTCCAGAACATTCTGAAGCCAGAAGGTAATCCTAGACCCAGAAGGTTTTGCAGTCCAAGTGGCTCCTTACTTCTTAATCCCTTTGATCCTGCCTCCATAAGTGTCCCCCTAAGTTAAAGAAATGTTTATCAAAGGTTTCAGATCCGCTAATCCAATAGGCATACACTTAGCATTTTTTCACAACTCTATAATTTACTCTGAAATACAGATTATTTAGGAAAAGAATTATGAATATTTCTCCCCCGCATCAAATGTTAGGGTAGTGATGCCTAGCAACACCCCTAAATGACTATTTTCTCAATGAAGATCTAGGTCTTTTTTTGTCATTTGCTGATGCTTTTTAAAATGCCCCCCACCGTGTGTGTGTGTGTGTGTGTGTGTGTGTTAAATGCATACCACAGTGTGAGTGTGGCATTCGGAGAACAACTATTTGCAGGAATTGGTTCTCTGCTTCCACTGAGTGGGGCCCCAGTACCAAATTGGGTCGGTAAGCTCGGCAAGTGCTTTGCCACCACACCCCAGACTCGGGTGTCTTCACGTGCCGTGTGATTCAAACTACCTGAAAGTCTTTTACGGTTCTGGAGATTGAAGCCTGGGGCCCGATGTACACTAGACATGTGCTCTGCTCCTGAACCCCATCTCCAGACTTCCTTTTACTTTTTAAGTCAAGATGTCTCAAAGTTGCCTGGGCTGAACTCCATGCACTCTGGAGCCCAGGTTGGTCCCTGATTTGACATCCTCCTGCTTCTGTCTTCTCAGTGGTTGGGATTACAAGCCTGTACCACCAGGCCCAGCCTTATTTAAAGGTTTTTAATTTAAACTACAGATAAATAACACATGAGAACATTTCAGCCAATAAAGACTATGATTGCCTGGTCATGTTCAAAGTCTCAGGTTATGTAAGCACAATCATTGATGTTAGCACAACCATATAACTTTTCAAGACACACATTACTGTGACTGTCCACATGCCAAATGAGGGCTTAAAGTTTCAGGACAAGACTGAATTTCTTTCTCTCCCTGGAATTTTTAATGTGTGTGTTAATTTTTTGTGGAATAGGTGAATGGAATTAGGGTTTTCTGGTGCCCCAATCCCTGCCCTTTGTACTCCTTGTAGTGTCTTTGCCATTACTGCGTTTTGTATTTACAAGTAGATCATATTTAAGCTGATGAAAATCTCCAGGTTGATGATTGTCTTTTAAGTTTACAGAAACAGTCTTCATAAAGATTAAAAGCAAGCAGAATAATAAATCTGCAATGATTTAGACCTCCATTCTCTTCTTAATCCATATCCTCTATGTCAAAATGACGAGTAAATCCCTATCTATTCTCCTGTCCGTCAACACCTTTGGACACTCAGCTCCACTTTCACGGCTGGGCAGGAGAATATGCACACCCAACAAGGATTGCTCAGTTTCTCCAGACACCCCAAAGTAATAAATAGTTGACTCTCCACTGGCAGCAGCCTTTGTTCTGAGTACCTACTAACTTAAGCTAAGTAGGGGAAATTTGGGTGTCTGAAGTTACAATCTCTTTCAGTGCTTGCTCCGGTAGTAGAAAGGTGTTATGTTTAATGAGAGTTTTTGCAATATTTGAAGCACAAAGAAGAAATGGCAGAGACAAACCTTCAGAATGCCAGTAATGTTTTAAAGAAAAAAATAATTTTTAAAATAAACTTCATAGTTTCAATGCAAGACAGAAAAGAATGAACAGGAGAGCGTATGTGCAGGAATCTATGCTGCCTTGTAGTTCAAACTGTATGAGCTGAGTGGCGGGGGTGGGGGGAGACCCTCCAAGGAAACACAAGCATTTCAGAGATGACAGGAACCAGACAGTCAGAGTCTGGGGAGAAATGGAACCCAGCTTTCTTTTCAATTAGTTTGGATTAAAATTATCCAGCTCTATTGAACTACACCAATATATAATTAACCACTCTTGGAAGTTGCTGAGTACTGCCTTCATAAAACTAATAAAGAGAGAAATAAAACATTTATCCTGACTTTCTTACCAAATCTATATTTTAGGATAATAAGAGGAGGTGAAGGAAGAGTATTCTAATGTATAGCAATACATAGTATATTTTCTCTTTTTTTGAGAAAGGGTCATATGTGAAAGAAATCAAATTTGATGGTTCATTTTCAAAGGCGTCTTGAACTAGTGTGTGCCCAGCTACAAATGAACAGAAAACACTAGACTCCTGTAAATGCCTGCTAGTTTAGCTATCATTCCTACAAAGTAAATAAATGAATAGCTAAAGAAACCAGAAATTTAGAGTAGAACATTGCTAACAGTCAAGACAAGATGTAAAAACATAGTGATGAAGCTACACACAACCTTTGTTTGGAAAGGACATATGTAATCCACAGGTGGAGGGGTAAAACCTAGATGGTGTACAAGATTATACCTCACTGATTGTCCAGTTAGTGAGGAAACAGATGATGTTCATGAATCCAGGGGTTACAAACTATTCTCTGTGCTCACCCAATGTGTCCACCATTCTGGGATGATGTCTGATGTTGCAAAGCTGTAAAATAAACTGCCTTACTTTTGTACTCTGAATATCCAGTGTTCTTGTAAGAAAGGGAGGGTCTTTATTTCTCACACTGGCCCACATGCAGAGCTATCCTGGGACATGTGGGGCTTACTTAAGGTTGGAGAGATGGCTCAGTGGATAGAATGTTTCCTGTGCACAAACCTAAGGTCCAAAATTCAGATGCCCAGCACCCACATAAAGTCTGATCAGGTGGCAGCTTGCCTGAAATCCCAGTGCTCAGGAGGCAGAGCTAGAGGAGTCTACCTAGCAAGCTGACTAGAGACTAGCTGAACCAGTGAGCTCCAGGTTAAGTGACTCAGAGACCCTGACTCAGCAGTGAAGTGTCCTGTGGCTGAGGAGAATACCAGGCATCAACTTCTGGCTTAACATGAACATATACAAGCACATACACACAGACACCATATGTATGCTCACAGACATGCAAACACATATACATGCGTATGCATCACATACACACACATACATACACAAAACAAGCAAGAAACTTTGTCTCAAAAAGCCCACTAAAATAAATAAAATGATTTTTTAATGCTGAAATTTAAAAAGTAATAGAAGAGGCCGTGCCAGACTGTCAAGGAATTAAAGAATAACATGCAGCATTCTTATGAAGTTAATTTGAAAAATCTGACAAATTCTCCTTGCTGGCCTATCCAAGCAAGTAGCACTCACTGATGACCTCAGTGCTGAGAAGTCTGTATTTCTGTCTCTTGGCATCTGTTTTCTCTCCACACCATTTTTCCCACTTTATAGTAATTAAAACACACGTGTTATTTTTAAGACTCTAATGTAACTCAGGAAAAATATTCATTAAAATAGCTAATGTGATGTTTGTCAACTGATTTATTTAATCTATTTGCTTGGGGGTGGGTGGGTGTGAGGACAGACCAAAACGGCACATCTGATGCTGTAGGGGAAGTAAGTGTTCTCTTGAGAAGAGAAGAGATTAGTTTGGCTTTGAGAGAGAGAGAGAGAGAGAGAGAGAGAGAGAGAGAGAGAGAGAGAGAGAGAGAGAGAGAGAGAGAGAGAGAGAGAGAGAGAAGAGCTTAGCAATGAATCTTTCACATGTTTACAACCTTGGAGCAGTCTTTCCACTCTCGGGAATTTATTTCTACATTGCTACCACATTCATGCTAGCTTTAATTTTAAAAAGCTAGAAGCATTATTAATGACTGTCAGTAAAGGATTACTGAGTGGAGCGTCCTGCTACCATTTAAGCAAATGAACCACAGCTATACACTTGAACACACATCGCTGTGTAGCTTTGTTTGTGAACTAACGACAGTGACAGCTCTGGGACTTCACGTCAAAAGGCTCATTTGAACTTTCCTGAAAATGATGACTAACAAACACAGGTTTCAGACTATGGATTACGGAACACATTCGTGGTTTGATCTGTGGTTTTGTTTAGGAGAGTTAAGCAAATAATAGGGTGTAATAAGACCCTCCACAATAAGATTCTACATCCACCATCCAATCTGCTATTGTAAAACAGCATAATCTTTTCCATGACTTCTTTTAATTTTAGAATAATTTACATATAAATAAATACACAGAAGGCTAGAGAGATAGCTCAGTGGTTAAGAGTACTGTCTGTTCTTCAGAGGTCCTGAGTTCAATTCCCAGCAACCACATGGTGGCTCACAATATTCTGTAATGAGATCTGGTGCCCTCTTCTGGCCTGCAGGTATACAGGCAGACAGAACACTGTATACATAATAAATAAATCTTAAAAAAATAAAGAAAACAAATACACAGGCCTTTAATGCTCAACTCAATGTGTGTGTTTGAGTCATTATATATATATATATATGGAGAAAAAGCAGTACACAAGCCTTATTTGTAGCCTTAAAAATAAAATTGGTCAAGCATGGGACACACACCTATAACTCCAGTACTTACGAGGTAGAGGCAGGGCAGGGTGGTGGCACTGAAGAGATGACTCAGTGGTTAAAAGCACTTACTGCTCTTCCAAAGGACCCCAGTTCAGTTCCCAGCACCTGCATCAGGCAGCCTGAAAGCACATATAATTCTAGATCCAGGAGGATCTGATGCTTCTGGCTCCCTTGGGCACCTGCATTCACAAGTACATCACCACGCACACACACACACACACACACACACACACACACACACACACACACCGAGAGAGAGTTAAAAGTAATAATAATAATAATAATAAATCTTTGTTTTAAGAAG